AAGAAAACGGCTGCAGACGTACAGCCAACAACGATGTGGCAGTTTCATTAAAACCAATGCTAATGGTTCAGATAAACACACAGATGAAGGCAAAAACATCCCTCTGATGCTCTCAGGGTTTTCGTTTGGTCTGAAGTAAAGCAGCTGAAGCCGAAAGAAAAACAAAGACTTTAAAGAGAATTTTGGGAGCGCAGCGTCATCAATATTTCAGGAAAGTTCAAACGTGGAGGTTAGCGTGGCGAAACGATGCAGCAACTCCAAAAGAAGAGAAAAATACGCTGAATTATTTACATGTTCTGTTCATTTTTTTACTGAAGTTTAAAGAGTTTTTGTGTCTTGAAGCTTAACGTTGAGGAATCTGAACAAAGCTTTGATGGACGGCGACGTCAGACGCAGTACTTCTGCAACTGAAGCGATTTTTGTGAAGGACAGATTTATCACCCAGATGGTTTGGCATGGAGTGTGTTTGCGAAAGGCCAAGTGCTCACAAACACACACACACACACACACACGTGCACACACGTACGTGCACACACATGCAGACACAGATGGATGGGGGTGGGGGAGGCAATCTGGTGAGAAAAAAACGAGCGGAAACAAAATCTAAGAGAGATTTTCAGGAGGACGAGGTGGTTAGATGGAGATCTGTCCATCCATCAAACGTTTCTTCACTCAGGAAGAGAAGTCATGAAGAAAACGTTTTTATCTGCGATTAAAAACAGAAATAATCTATTTGTTAATGAGCTTCACTGGATCGTTATGATCTTTCTTTGCTTGGGGAAATGTTAGCATGTCATTTGTAAAAAATAACCAAACTAGAGCATCTGGGCAGCTTTAAAGGAAAAGTTTAATTTCCGTGAAGTGAGCTTCACCAAACAAATAATATCTTACCTGTTGTAGATAGCCCCTTAAGTAACCTATGGAGACAAAGAGTCTAATTCTGACTGGATTAACAAGCTAACGGCTAATCCAAGTCAGGTCAGGAACTGCTGCTGCCTTAAAACGACTCTGATCTCACAAAGTTTACAATGTCTCTGTTAGCAAAACATCTTACAAGACACTGGACGAATTTCACCGTATAAGGTTTGGAGCTAACCCCATTCAAGATGGCCTCCACAGCTAACTGGCTTTTGAAAATGCAATAGTGGCTATAATTCAGTTGATATGAGAGTCATTCACAACTCAAACTCCAAGTGATGTTGCAAAATATTATTGCCTAAACTTTGACATTAAATGTTGGAGTCAACCCTCTGTTAGCAAAATATCTCATGAACCACTGTCATGTCAGTTCACTTCAGTGCAGGCCCTGGATCAGGACGGGCTCAGACTACCAAACGTCTGCAGATAAGAAGGATCAGATTGATCTGGCAGTGATTGAATAGCGAATGTTTGTGGTTTTGGAGATGAGTGTTTTTCTGGACAGGAATTGAACAGAGAATGAAGTAAACCTTAATGTTTTTGATGCAATATATTACGTGGGTAAGAGTTAAACTGTGGAGAAGAACAGATTTTTTTTTTTTTTGTATGAGATTGACAAATCCTGGGAGGTGGAGAGAGAGCAGTTTCATCCATGGCCAGGTGCAATGGTGGAGCCAGGGGGTGGCCAATGGTGGCCTTGATCACCATAGATTAATCTTCAGCCACCCCACCAGCCACCCCAATAATGTGCAAAATCTATACTTTTAAGTATCCTGATGCATGCTCTATACTATACTATACTATACTATACTATACTATACTATACTATACTATACTATACTATACTATACTATACAGTATAGTATAGTATAGTATACTTTTAAGCAATATAAAAACTAGAAAGCATAATTTCCTCAAAAGATTGGGGTGGGCGGTTACATAAATATATAACGGCAGCCATCTTGGATTTTGACGTGGCAACCCACTTTCTGATGGTGACGTTTCTTAGCACAAGCAGAACATATCAAGGTTTGACCAAAACTGCTACAACTTTGTCAACGTAACAAGATCTTCCTCTGAAACTCTGGCATGAAAGGCGGCGGGTGATATGCATTTCTTCAAAGAAAGTGAGGCCTTTATTATTTTTTTTTTTATAGTGATGCTTTTATTTTATTTCTGATAGACTTAAGGTAACTCTTGTCTTTGTGTATCCGCAGCGGGAAGAGGAGAACATGTCCATCCACTAGCAGCGTTGGCCTCGCTCCATTGACTTCCTGTTCATTATGGGATTGATTTGAAGATTCCATAGCTGTTTTTGAAGGCTGCTAATGGCCTGGCCCCGTCGTGTCTGCAGGAACTTTTACATTATCATAGTTCATCTACAGCAGGAAGGACAACAAACTTCATGTTCCTTATAGAAACGTAGAGAAGAAGGAGCCTCGTTTCTTTACTTATCCATATAAAACACACCCGTTTGTTAGGATTGACCTCTAATAGAGCTTATTAAACTGATTTTATTTTATTGTAGGCTCTACCACCTTATTCATCTCGCTCCATTTGACTCTTTCAATAATATTTTGTTTGTTTTTGTTGATTTTTTGTGATACATAACTTTAGGTTGTAGAAGTCCACCAAGTGCCCACCAGTCTCAATAAAACCAGAGCTCATTACTATCAGTTTACTCAGTTTAGGAAACCATGAATTTAAAAATGGACACCATTCTGGTTGAGAACAAACTTTCCCAACTTTAAAACTTCAGTAATGAAGAAAAGCTGAACAGATTCTGTCAATAAAAATAAATGAATTATACAAAGTGGTGTGCGCAGGAATGGATTCTAAAGACCTTTCCTTTCATTGTAACCCAAGGTGTGCTCTAAATGATGTTCACAAGGTGATTTATAAACTAATTGACGCTCACTTTGACAGTAAACAAGCAGAAAGATCAGGATCCAGAGTAAATCCAACAGAGATCTGCTAGTTTTGTTTGTTTCAGGTGAAAACATGGCGTCAACGGAAGGAAAACCAAAAGGATTGACACAAATATCTCCAAATTGATTTAAAAATAAAACACTCGGAGCCTTCTAAATTTGGTTTTCAGCTCAATAAGCTTGCCTTATCCAGCTTTTTTTTTTTTTCTGTGCATGAATACAAAACAGCATCGCATGTCCCTGACACTTCCTTCAACGCAACAAGCTGTTTTTATGACAAACGTTAAAATCTTATTTTGAAAGAAATCGATGATAGCACATCTCTGACAAGACGCTGACCTTCTTTGAGATTTAGGCTTTAAGAATTTCACTTCAGTGCAATTTGGTATGAGAGCTGCAACAATCCTGACATTTCTGTTAATTAACCTTTTGGGTTTCTCCTCTTTTCACTCTTCACCTCTCAGCGTGCTCACCACACGTCTTTTTCCCCATCAATCTCTTTTCTGTTTTCACTCCTCCTTCCTGTTTTGTTTTCAGTTCGTGTAAATAAAAAAATGTCAGAGCGCAGTCGAAAAGCAAAGCGAGAGCCTTCACTCGTCAATGGGAAACTGCAATAATTCTGTTTTTACAGAAAAATCCTTTCAGGAGCTTCATTTTGTGAGAAAAGAAATAAAAAGGAAGAAAAGTAAGGGCAAACAGGGTGAGAAGCAAAAAGGAAAAATGACTCTAATGAAGACCAGACCGCACTAGAAAAGAATGAGAGTAGAATAGGGGAACTGCTCCGCCGGCAGTTGCCATGGCAACAAGCCCTTTGGCGGGATGGCGGCGGAAAAGCCTCAGCAGGAGAGGATTGGAGAGCGGCGGCGGCGTGCGAGCATCTTTTGTGCGCGCCGACTTTAAAAGCGTACGGACATATGCGGTGCGTGTGCAGCGCCGACGTGCCGCGCATCTACAAACGGTTTCAGATGCAGACAGCAGGGAGACGGGCTGGAGAGCAGAGAGGCATGATGGGAAATGGAGTCTGAGACAAATGAAAAGGACTAACAAGAAAAACGAAGTGAACAACGTGGACATGCTTCTTCTTCTTTCGGCTGCTCCCTTCTTCAGGGCTCGCCACAGTGAACTGAGTCGCACGAAGACTTGGCGCTTGTTTTAACGCCAGATGTTCTTCCTGACACACCCACAGACCACCGAGCTACCACAGCCCTCTGTGTGGAGCAGAGAGCAGCATCTAGGGCGCCCGAGGGAGCAGATGGTGGGGGTTAAGGGTCTTGCTCAAGGGTCCAGAGTGGGGCAAATGAGGGTGGAGAGTGTTTCCCCTTTCCTACACACATTTTGATGTTGTCGTATGGGGAGTTGAACCGGCAACCTTCCATTCACAGGCCCACCTTCTCTAACCTCTGCGTCACCACTCCCCGCTAACAAGGACATTATACCAATAATTGCATTATTTTATTACCAGGATATAATTAATCAATCATATGATGATTATAGAAGTTTATTAACACAAAACAGCCATTTTGAAATTATCGTTATGGTCTCATTGCATAAATCTTGATGTTTAATTAGCATTTTCTAAATTATTATATTTTTTAATCTTCTGATTTTCTTGTTATTCTTGGTATGGATGATCATGTAAGGGCCTGTTTCTGTGTGTTTGTTTGTTTATCTGTCTGTTAGTAAAATATCTCATGAACTGGAGGACAGAGTGAAACTCTCAGAACGTAATTACTGGATCCACAAGTGATTAACCATTTAAATCAACCCAAACCAAGATGGCCTCCACAGCTAATCGTTTGGAGTGGGCACAAAAATGTCTATAACTCAATCAGTTTTACAGATATGGAGCAGAAATCTGGTGTAGTAGTAGCTGAGAGTCATTCTTAACACCTACTCTGAGTGTTGACAGATTACACAACTTATTTGTTTAAAACTTGGAAGTGCAAAGTGGCAAATGATACTTTAGGAAATTGTACTTTTTATGCATCTGTCCATTAAAGTTCATTTTTTCACCAATATAAAACGTTTTGAAATAAATAAATAAAAACTGCAGAAGTTGGAATGGATTTTTGCTCATTTCTGGATAAAGGTTTTTCCAGGTCGCTGAAATCAGGATGCAGAAGCACCTTAACGATGACTGATATATCTGTCTACCTTCTGATACTGATCTTTGGAGGCCAGTGCTTCCTGCAGCTGCTGCTGGGTGAAGGTGTAGATGGCAGAGCGGTACGTTGTCCCGATGTCGTTCCCCTGACGCATGCCTGAAAGTACACACATTCAAAATATCAAAACCTAAAGGGTTTCAGCTGACATGAGGCGTTATCCTATCTTCTTGGCAAACAGAACATCAACAAACAACAGCTGACAGCTTTTCCAAAAATATGATCCGTCTGTCTTGGCAGAACTGAAAGTTTTTTGTGTGTTTTTTTACTATTTCATCACTGTCAGCTTCTCAACTGCGCTGCTTCAAGCTTTCTAAGGACGATGTGTACGTTAGTTGTTCTATTCATCAGCTACACAAAGTTACAGACTTTAACACACACTTAAAGCTGTAATGAGAAAAAGTCTCATGTGACCCACCTTTATAGTGTTCTCCCTCTTTATTTGAAGGACTAGTTTTTATACCATACAACACTAAATCTTGCTGCAGGTCCTGAATGTTGCTATAGGTTGCTAACTGTTTCTATAGGATGTTGCTATAGGTTGCTAACTTTATCTCCCAGTTGTTCAACCTGTGCTGCTGTACCTCTGATGATCTCAATCCTAATCTTCTCCATCCTTGTCACTCCTAAGGAGAACTTCAACATCTTCATTTCTTCATTTATTAATGTTGTGTGCACCTCATCTGTGGTTTTTGTTTAAAACAGATCTCTTGAAAATGAGTCCTCGTGACTCAGTGAGACTAACCTGTATAAATAAAGGTTGAATGAATGAATTTCTGCCATTTCTAGTTCTGTCTTTTTGTCCATGTCTCTGTCTCCAGACCATACAACATTGTTGGTCTCACCACTGTCCTGTAAACTTTATTTTTTTTACCTTAGCTACCACTCTTTTGTCGCAAATAGCTCCTAAAACTTTTCTCCGTCCACTCCATCCTGCCTGGACTCTCTTCTTCACCTCTTTACCACACTCCCCATTTTCCTGGGCAATGGACCCCAAGTACTTGAAGTCCTGCACCTTTGTGACCTCTGCTCCTTGTAGCCTCATAGTTCCACCTCCTCCCTCTCATTCACACACATGTAGTCTGTTTTACTATGGCTGACTTTCATTCCTCTTCTTTCAAGTGCATACCTCCACGTCTCCAAGTTCTCTTCCACCTGTTCCCTGTTCTCACCACAGATCACAATGTCATCTGCAAACATAGTCTACAGGGATTCCTACCACACATCATCTGTTAGTCGGTCCATCACCAGAGCAAACAAGAAGGGGCTCAGAGCCAATCCTTGATGCACTCCCACTTCTACTTTGAAGCTATCTGTCACTCCTACAGCACATCTCACCACTGTCCTGCTGTCCTCATACATGTCCTGTACCAGTCTAACATACTTATCTGCCACTCCAGATTTCCTCATGCAACACCACACCTCCTCTCTTGGCACTCTGTCAGATGCTTTTTCTAAATCCACAAAGACACAATGGAGTTCTTTCTGACCATCTCTGTACTTCTCCATCAGCATTCTCAAATCAAAGATGAAACCATACTGCTGCTCACAGATAGTCACCTCTCGTCTAAGTCTTGCTTCCACAACGCTCTCCCAGATCTTCATCGTGTGGCTCATCAACTTAATTTCCCTGTAGTTGCCACAACTCTGTACATCACCCTTGTTCTTAAAAATGGGCACCAGCACACTTCTTCTCCATTCCTCAGGCATTTTCTCTCCTGCAAATATGCCACTGAATATTTGAGTAAAAAAAACTCACTGCCATCTCTCCAAGACATTTTCAAACCTTCATGGTATGTCATCAGGTCCTACTGCCTTCCACTTTTTCATTCTTTTCAGAGCTTTGCAGATTTCACCCCCACTAATCTGTCCCACTTTCTGGCCCACAGTTGCTAAGACCTCTTTTTTCTCTTTCATTCTCTTCATTCATTAGCTCCACAAAGTATTCCTTCCATTTTCCCATCACACTCTTCACTTGTTAGAACATTACCATACCTATCTTTAACAAGCCTAACCTGCTGCACATCCTTTCCAGCCTGATCCCTCTGTGTCACCAATCAATACAAGTTCTTCTCTACCTCCTTAGTGTCCTGCCTCTTGTACAACTCATCATAGATGTTCCATTTTGACTTTGCCAGTTCCCTCTTTGCCCTACTTTATGCTGCATCTTATATTCTTGCTACACTGTTTAGTCCTCTTACCTTTTTTCCTAGCTAACCTCTTCCTCTAGATAACATCCTCTTCCTCTTTATTCCATCAGCAGGTGTTCTTATGTAATCTCAGTCCAGATGACACGCCAAGCACCTTCCTGATGGGAGAAGTTATGTAAAGGTCATGGATGTTTTCACTTACTGATGTTAAATTAATATAGAACCATGTATGTGAAGTCAAGAGAGTCTTTCTGTTTACTCAGAGAAGAGTCTGATAACTGATAAACTCTGACCCCTTCAACAACTGTGAGCTGTAAAGCAGAGGTCATGTTTTGACCTAGTCTCTGTCTGATAACAGGTATTTACGCTTTCCTAAACTATTTCTTCGAGGGCAGACCTTGGAGACGGAGCGACATGTACCATCTTGTATGTCTGTTTTCAATTGCTGCACAACCTTGCAAGGATTAAACCTGGGTTGAAAAGATCTTCTCGTATTTCCTTGTGTGGCTTATTTGATTAATGCGTTGATGATAGGATAATTAAATTATCCAACACTTCCTACCTGTCTCTTTAATTACTGTTGCTGTAGTAGCCCAGTCATTTGGAAGCACTTTCTTACCACCCAGAGCCTTTAACAGCTCCACTCATCACAATGTTCTTCCATCCTCCACCATTTGGTCTTCTTCTCTGGTTTTACTCTTTTTATCTTCTTCACAACAACAGTCATTCTACACACAACCCTCCGATGCTGTCTGGCCACGCTCTCCCCTGCCACAACCTTACAGTCTCCAATCTCCCTCAGGTTTCCTCTTCTACACAGAATGTAGTCGACCTGCGTACTCCTTCCTCCACTCTTACAGGTCACTCTATGTTCCTCCTTCTTTTGGAAATAGATGTTGACTACAGCCATTTCCATTCTCTTGGCAAAATCCACCACCTTCCTGGTTTCTTTCCTTGACACCAAACCTACCCATCACTCCCTCATCCCCTGTTTCCTTCACCAACATGTCCATTCAGGTCTGCTCCGATCACTACTCTCTCCTCTCTGGGAATACTCTCTATCACTTCATCCAGATCCTTCCAAAATTTGTCTTTCTCCTCTATGTCGCATCCAACCTGTGGAGCATAACCACTGTCAACATTTAGAATCAAACCTTCTACTTCTACCTTCAGACACATCACCCTACCTGACACGCTTTTCACCTCTACTTTCTTTGCCAACTCCTCCTTCAGGACCACCCCTACTCTATTTCTCTTTCTATCCACACCATGGTGAAACAGTTTGAACCCTGTTCCAATGCGACGAGCCTTGCTGCCCTTCCACTTGGTCTCTTGGACACATAAAACATCTACCTTCCTTCTCTGCATCATGCCAGCCAGCTCTCTACCTTTGACTGTCAATGTCCTCACATTGCAACCCTGAGTCCTACATTCTTGACTCTTCTCCCTCTGTCTCCTGACACGTTTCCCTCCTCGTGGTCTTCGACTAACAGTAGCACATTTTCAGCCAGCACCCGGTTTGTCAACAGCACCGGAGCCGGTCGTTGTTAACCCGGGCCTCGATCTGGTATGATGTCGCTAAGATGAACTCACATATTTGTTTGGCTAAAGTGTTTTATGTAGGATGTTAAATGTTGCTAACTAAATGAGGTTAACATACTGTATGAAACATATTAAAATGATTTATCTAGTTTGATATTCATAATGTTTTCTAAAGCTGCCATTTCAGAAACACCTGGATGTGAAAATAATAATCCTAAGTACTCAGTTGTAACCAGCTGCTGATGCATTTTTCCTTGTTATTAACTAGAAAGAAACCACTTTTCTTTCATTACAACAGAGTACAAAACATTTTTTTTTTAATAAAGGTTAAGACTTGCAGTTGTCCTGTGGAGGTTCGAGTGTGATTTCTACCTTGAGTCGGGTTGTGGCTCTCCCAGAAGATTTCGAGGAGCTGGGCGAAGCCGATCTGTTCTGGAGAGAAAACGACTCGCACCACCTCAGCGTGTCCCGTCCTGCCTGTAAAACACATTTATCACAAAACAAACCACAGAGAGTTACTAATTCTGTTTTTATAAATGGACTTTCTGATCACACCTTTAAAAATACGTTGTGGTGCTGACACGTTTGTTCAAAACGTCTGCGTACAAACGCGTTCTTTCAAGTAATATTAAATTCGTTATGAAAATCTATAAAATCTTGTTAAAGACATTTGGAGATTTACAGCTTTAAAACGACCACATTTACAGAAGAAAAGCACAACGTACAGCCGCCGTCCTTGAAAGGACCAAACTGATTTTCTCTGCAGAGTCAAACAGCAGCTGGTGCTGGTAATGAGTGTGACCCATTACGTGACACCTCATCTTCTTCTCGTCTCTCATTCCACCTCCACTCCGATGTTTCTCTCTGCCTTATTACTTTTTTAATATCAGCAGTTATGGATTCTTATGGCAGATATTGGCGAACAGAGACAAAGCAGCGGTCGGCATTAAATTAATGTCTCACCAGGCCAATCTCGCAGGAATAAATTTATCTTGGACTGGATGTGAAATACAGTAAAAGATTGGAATCGGGGCAGAAAATAAAGCTGCAGCTGAAACGTACGTTTAGCCGCCGAAATGATCTCGTAATCTGACATTAATTCAGTATGAACAATCAGGTGCACGTTTGGTTATTCAACAAATTCACACATTCTGCTAAAGTTTCACAGAACTTTCAGCCACGGCCTTTCTAAAGTTTTACACTTGTCTGCGTCTGTAGAACGGACTGTTGTTGGCTGGTTGGTTCTTACTTTTACAGAGAAACCGTTTTTATTTCATTCAGCCAAAGGAACAAAATAAATGAGTCCCAGAAGACGGGGTAACACAGGTGGCAGGCTGCGACTTAACGCTCATCCCTCCCAAAACCCCAATTTTGTTGGCAGAAGAGCGAAACAAATCCAGGTATTTTACCACCGTGGAGCCGGATCGATAATGGAAGCGGTCTTTGGAAACCATCCCACACACAAGGCCAAGACATTTTGATGAAGTTACTTGGTGTGTTGGTGATTTAAAATTAAACTTCGGGCAACTTTACAACAAACATCCTGGATGTCTGGACGGATATGTGAAGTCAAACGAAACAAAAAAATTAAATTAAATTTAAAAAAAGTATTTAATTGGCAGGTTAATTTTGGAACCGTTCTTTTCAGAAAGTAAATTGTATGAAGGTATTACGACGCTGGCATCAGACCTCTTCAGCACCGAAACACCAGCAGGATTTTAAAAGAAAAAACTGCTGATCGCCACATTTTCACCATCATCCACCTGAAATAAACATCTCACTGTCGGCGTTTCACACACAGTTGACAAACTTCTGATCTGCAGCAGCTACAGTTACGTGATTGACATGTGCTGAAATCAGGAAGTTGCAGAAACGGACTAAATGAGAACTTATCAGAAAATATTGAGTCATGGACGGCTGACACATTGTCTACTTTTAAGATTAGGCTCAAGTCTTTCCTTTTTGATAAATCCTATAGTTAGGGTCAGCTTTTTTTTTTCAACCTTTACTTAGACAGACAAATCACATTGAGCCTCGAAGACTCATTTACAAGTGAGACCTGTTCAGACAGACAACAAGTAATGAAAATGACACGTACAGGATTTGGAGGCAAAAACAATTCCTATCAAACTCTTTCTTCTTGGCTGAGGAGAAAGACCCTGATATTGAAAAAAACACCGCGCACATAGGCACATTGTGGCAGAGACGTCCTGCAGGGACGACAAGAGCGGTGATCATGTCAAGGACACTCCAGAGGCACAAGAGATAAGAACAGTACAATCAGCCAGTTCCCTCTGGAGAGATCTGTAAACACTCTCGTGTTTACGAGAGTGTTTACAGATCACTAGGCGAATCTCAGTTCGCCTGGAGGTCCAGTAAATCGACGCTCTCCCTCCTCCCGTCCCCTCCCACCCAGGAAGTCTGTGGACCTATCATAGGGACCCGGCTGAATAAATATTGCTTCATAATTTCAAGACTCTCAGCTTCTCTCTGGCGCTGTTCCAAGTCGAACAATGTCTGCCTTCAGTCTTTGCTGTTCCTCTTGAATCCCGACCATCCAAATGAAGTGGACAGACGCAGTCTGACCAGGGCCAAATTTAATGCTGACGACTTCCTTGTTTGTTGATAGACCAGGAACCAGCCGAATCCAAAAAGCAGGAAACCAGTTATCATAAATCCTGTTGTATATGCATTCTTGGCGCTTGTCTTCTCGTTAAGAAAATTTGGCTCGCCTGAAGCTTGTCTTCTCGTCAAAATTTTTTTATCAATTGCGTTGAGAGACCAATTGACCAGATCCATAGCAAAAGTTTACAGTTCAGAATATATTTAGAGAGAAGCTCTGAAGCAGCTTCACAGACAGGACGGAGCAAAGCAAAGTGGAGGAGGGAGAGGACGGGAAAGCGTCCGCCCTTGACAGGAGCAAGCGGTGAAGGTTTCCTGAGCTACCCCTTAGTTATACAGTTAGGCTTAGACCGCTGGAGGTCACATGTCCTCTCTCTGCTGCTCTTTACTTGCTCTACTCTGTCTGTATTTGTAATTATTTCTATCTTAACATGTTTTTTGTCTTTCCTCCTATAGAAAGTTCGCCTGGACCGGTCATTCTGTGTTCGTTTGTTTCTCCTTCCTGTCCTCTCAAACCCAGCCGGTGGAAGCTGATGGTCGCTCGTCCTGAGTCTGGTTCTGCTGAAGGTTTCTTCCTGTTAAAAGGGAGCTTTTCTTTCCACTGTCACCTTTGTGTTTGCTCAGGATGGGAGACTGTGATGAAGTGAAGATTCAACACAATCTGCTGCTTCCTTTACTAATTAGCTTTTTTAATGTATGTGACTGTTTTTGTGCTTTGAGATAACTTCTGTTGTGACTTGGTGCTCTATAAATAAACTGAATTGAACTGAATTGGATCAGAGGAGGGATGGTGGAAACAGGACAGAGTTGACTTCAAACCATTACTGGCAAAATGCTTAATTTTTTCAGCGATTTGTCTGAGCTCAGAATTTTAGCACAATATCAATCAAAGTGAATGACTTGTAATCTTTTTTGTTTGTTTTACTTAAAGCCAGATTATGAATAAACTGGATGTAGCAACAAGCTATAATCCCTTGCAGCGGTACAGTCATTAAGATAAATTTATTAACATTTGTTCAGTGATTCATGCAATATTTTGTTGACAGATACACACAAACACAGGATAAAACACTATGGCCAACTTTTAGCTTTTTGCAGCAGGAATGTGAATTTCTTAACACGAGAGCAAAACAGTCAAAGAAGTAACTGAAAAAATTATACAGTTTGTCACTGGAGAAAATATAAATGTTTTATAGTCATGTTTGAAAAGTTAAATGCTATTTTTTTTATCCACAGTGTCATAAAATGTGTAGCACTTGGGAGTATGTGTTGCGGATCACTCTCAGCTACTACCACACCGGGTTTTAGCTGAATATCTAAAATCTTTGGAATTATAGCCATATTTGTGTTTCCAAAGATCAACCATCTTGAATTAGTTAGTTTTAGATGTTCAACCAGTACTTTGATCCTGACTGTTTAATAAAATATATCTTCTAGGTGATAAGATATTTTGCTAACAGACATATACTAACACAAACCTTGCAGCGGGTGATATTTAATCATCCTTTTCTGACTGGCTTATGTTTTCTCTGTGGAGCTTTGTTGGACTTTTCCTTTCATTGTTCAGATGTTGTGTCACCACTGAGCAAACAGAAATAATAATAATTAAAAAAATAACAATGATTCAATTGTTGGGGAAGAAAAATGAAGATAAATAACAAAAACCAGGACTGCACCTGAGAGAAATAAAGAACTGTGTGGGAGTCTTTTTAAATCTACTAACAAAGGTGCTCTAGAGGAAAAAATATGCAAATTTATTCCCAATAATTAGAACCTTTGCTGATCTGAAGGTAAATATTTAGCCAACGACGAATATTCAGTCATGGTTTCTCCTGAAGATGTGAAAGTGTGAGGAGCACTTCATTTTAATAATCAGCCACGTTACCGTAGTAATTAAAAACCAACATCCAGGAGTTCAGACTGTGCTCACGAGAACCGCTGTTAGTCTGAGCAACAAGAAAAGCTGTTTGTGTTCCCCGACACGGCCTCAACACAAAACACCGGCGCTCAGCAGAAACAACGAGCGGCGCGCTGACCCCCCCATCCATGACACATTTCACTAGTGAACGTTTGCAGCGTTCGAGAAGAGTGTTTCCCCAAATGATCTGGGTGGCCGGTGGTGTTGCAGTACTCGACACCGGTCTTGGGCCTGTGATCGGAAAGTCGCAGGTTCAACTCCCGGTACCGTCAACATCAAAATGTGGGTGGAAAAGGTGGAACACCCACGCCTCCCTCATTCGCCCCAATCTGGGCCCCTGAGCAAGGCCCTTAACCCCCACCATCTGCTCCATAAACAGGTCTCTCTAGAAAATGAGTTCTCGTGGCTCAATGAGACTACCTGGATAAATACAGGGTAAATGAAAAAAAAGCTCTTGAGACCGGTCTTGGTCTCAAGACCTTTTTTTGATGGTCTCGGTCTTGTCTCGGACTCGACCGCATTTGGTCTCGGTCTTGCGATAATGTGACTCATTACTAAATACATTTTTTGTTACCGCTGTCACGCCCACCCCCTTTCATTCGCACGCGAAACTCCCAATGTTGCCAGATTGGGCGGTTTTCATTCTGATCTTGCTGGGAACTCTGGAAAGATTTTTGTTGGACTGTTGCGTTTTGCCACATATTGTTAAATTACCTTGGCTTGTACTGATGTGCGTTCATGTTCAAACTGTAAATATACTGTAACGAAATATTGACTGGGTGGAGTTTTGTGTGATGTGGCTGTTTTTAACAGATTGTTGGGCTGGAAAACCTTGACTCTATCTGGCAACAATGGTCACGCCCAAGAAAGTGAGAAGTGATTGTCTGGGCGCAGGAGAAGATGTCTGCCATACCATCAGTTATAAAATCCGTCTATTTAAATCACAAATAATACACTTGTAACTAATATCCAGTTATGTAACTGTTTTTTAGGTGTATATCTACTACTTTATAGAAACCACTGTGCAGCTGTATGGGTATCCTTGGTCTTGAGTTCAGACTTATGAAGAGTGTTTTACCACTGCAGTATTTTAAGACTCGGCATGTGATGAAACTGCTTCCAGATTAACAGTTGTGTCATTTTATTGTTGAATCACACGACGTTAGGCCACTGAATGTCTGATTTATTTGTTATGTAGCTTTGAAAATTCATAAAAGCTGATATATTTATTCAAAAACAAACTTAAAGTTGCAGTATGTAACTTCTATAAAAATATATTTTATAATAAAAAATGTATTTATTTTATTTGAGGTCTTGGTTTCGGGTTAGGTGGTCTTGAACACAACACTAGTGGCCAGTTCACCTATTTGCACGATGGTGGCCATCTTGGATTTTGACGTGGCAACCCAATTTTCCATGGAGACCTTTCTCATGCCTAGATGCAGCCGCACGCCAACATGGAAGTCGGTACCTCGCTGATTTGTCAAGTTCTCCAGCTCACAAGATGGACGCACGGAGGCTATTTCCAGTTCCTGGTCTTCGCTCCGTGATGGAGACAATAAAGGACATCATGCACCAGCCATCTTTCGTTTCAGAGATTTGGATCGATTTATGACGAGAAACGGCAGAGTTCAATCCAAACTGGAAAAACCTTATGACCCACGTTATAAACTAATGTTGATCAGCTGAGGCGGCCATCTTGAAATGGACTGAATCCAAAAGTTAATCATTCCTTTCTGAAGGTTCCATTAAAGTTCAACCAGTGGTTCACGACACATGAACTTGACAAATGAACACACAGCCGCTCACATGAACACAAGCAAAAACATTATTGCCCTTTCACCTTTGGTGGTAGCCAGTAATCAAAGGTGTGGGGGCCAAAAAAAAAAAAAAAAAAGTCAGGTTAAACAATGTGGCGCGGTGGTTTGGAAACACAGCGGAGGTCGAGACCAAAAACGTGCAAACATCACAAATCTGTAAAAACAGTCGCAGACATCTGGTTTCAGTGATGAACAAATGAATTCACACACACAAAACAAACAAACAAACAAACAAACAAAAAATAAGCTGGTGATCATGAGGACACGAGTTGAGTTCAAGGCTTCAAGCATTAAAAGAAAACACTGACAATTAAAAAACAATTTGTACTTTTCAGTTTCCTTTTTACTGTTTTATCACATTTTCTACAATTAATCACCTCTTATTTAAGCTTTCTGCACCATTTAAAACCATAATCAATAAAAATGTGTTTGTTGTTTTGATCCAGTTAACTTATTAACCCTCTAAACTTTTCTGTAGCAAATCAATAAAATGATTTACAGGAAAAAAGTAAAGAGGCAAGTGGTGATGCAGGTCAAATGATGGATTCAGTGTCTGATGGAGAAAACACACACACGCACACACACACGCACACACACACACACACACACAGTGGTCAGGCATCAATAGCAGCTTTATCCATGCCCCGGTTTAATGGGGCCTGTGGGAAATGACTGACTCCTCTGTTTTTGTTGTCCTGGTTTTTAAATTTTATTAACTCTCAGTAGAAAACACACGCCTGGTTCACTATATGTGTGTGTGTGTGTGTGTGTGCGTGCACGTGTGTGTGTGCAGGGGATACCTGTGCACACTTCCTTGTAGGTGGGGTTAGGTGTGTAGCCTCCGGAGTAGCCCACTTGGGTGGAATAAACTCCTTTCTGTCTCCAGAACTTCCTCTCTGCTCCCCAGAAACAACCCATGCCTGTAAAAAGAAAAACAAAGTGCCTGGTCACATCGTGTATCCATCCATCATCCATCCATCATCCATCCATATCCATCCATCCATTCATCCATCCATCATCCATCCATCATCCATCCATCATCCATCCATCCATTCATCCATCCATCATCCATCATCCATCCATATCCATCCATCCATTCATCCAT